CTCACTGGTATCAAAAGCCAAGGGCTAAAATCTTGGGAAGCCCTAGTGGTTAAACTCAGTGGCCACCAGCACGTATGCTTATCAATAAGCTGTAGGAGCAGGTGATATATGAGGACATAAGGACCTTGCTGATCAAGAGAAGCATCCTTCCAGTCTGGCACCCTGTGTCTTAGACCGGCTAGAGAGAGATCAACAAACAGGGTGTGAAGGCAACACAGTTTTCCCCCAGATACTATTGACGCACACTAAAGCCTTAGGTGCCATCAATTGTCACTGTATCATGTGAACGAGCCTGGGGTTAGGAATTGTAGTGAATGGCCTGAGATAGGTAGGGGTCTGTGAGAAAAGTAGTGGCAGGAAAGTGTGGCTTTTTTTTTTTCCTTTTCATGTGATTATCATTCTCTAGCCTGCTGGGCCAAGTCTCCAGTGTGGGTTAACTGATCGTCATGTTCCTCTTTGCCCCCTAGCCAGTCATGGAGAGCACTCCGGAGGACAAGAAGAAGACAAAGCAGGAGAAGTTGAAGCGCTGTATTCGTACTGCTGCTGGGACCTGCTGGGAGGACCCCAGCCTTCTTGAATGGGACGCTGGTGAGCATCCAGCTGGAGTGGTCCAGGGGGTAGACAGTGGAAGATACCGATGGATGTTGAGGCCATGATTTTTCCTCAAGCCTAGCATTTGTACCAACATCCCTTCCTAACCTGGTGCCTTTCAAATGTATTGATCTGTAAACATCTTCAGTCTCTCCCAGCATGACCTGGTCTGTGCATCAAACCAAATCAGAATTTTTGAATCTTGAATAAACCATGCTCTTTGAATTTTTTTTTTTTTTTGGTGCCTCTGAGTCAGTGTTGACAAGTCCCTGCAGTTCTCTTGGCAAGATTTTTCATAAGTGGTTTGCCATTGCCTCCTTCCTAGGGCTGAGAGAGAGGGACTCGCCCAAGATCACCCAGCTGGCTTTGTGCCTCAGGTGGGACTAGAACTCACGGTCTCCCGGTTTTTAGCCTGGTGCCTCAACCACTACACCAAACTGGCTCTTTGAGATGGGCTTCAAGAAAAGAAATATAATGATTCCTCTGCTAGAGAGGCAAGAACCATGAAAAGCTATACAAAGGAGTTTCTTGAAATTCCGATTTATCTCACCTCTTATGTATGCATGTTGAAGATTCTCTGTTGTCTGGAGGACTAGGCAAGGATCCTGCATTATCCTTCCTTCCTTCCTTCCTTCCTAGATGATTTCCGGATTTTCTGTGGGGACTTGGGCAATGAGGTGAACGATGACATTCTGGCTCGTGCCTTCAGCCGCTATCCATCTTTCCTGAAGGCCAAAGTTATCCGGGACAAGCGCACTGGCAAAACCAAAGGCTATGGCTTTGTCAGCTTCAAAGACCCCAACGACTATGTTCGTGCCATGCGAGAAATGAATGGTGAGTGTGAGGTCTCCATTTCTTGATGGCAGAGGTAGAGATGACCATCTCATCCAGAGAGGTTATCCTGCTTGAGTCCCACTGAGGTGGAGAAGCAGATTCAACTTCCAGCTAAAAATGAAATAACCGGTGATGGAAAAGTCCTGTCTTGACACAGGCACTTTCCCTTTTCTGGGCAAGAAAACCAAAACATCGACTGGCTACTAAGTCCACCCAAATCTTAAGAACTCCTGATCTTAAGAATGTCATATAGCTCAATACAAAGTCAATACAATACAAACTGCTTAAAAAAAAGTCTGTGCTAAGTTGCATCTGTTCCATTTTAGGGAATTACAATCAGTTCCCTCATTACAGTTGTCCTTTAATGATGCGGTCCCTACATAAGAGTAAGCTATGGCTTGTTTAACTCTGATTGATGGAATGCACCACTGTAGCTCGAGTGATCAGTGAGTCATTAATTATAGTTTCCAACCTCAATAGCCAGGATAATATCATGGAATCCCCCACATAAAATAAATCACATGATTGCTTGGGTGTAATATGTGAACTCGGCTAGTCTAAAGGGTCTCTGATTGTGAATGTAATTTGCCTGCTCCAACCTGATGCCCTCCAGGTGGTTGTGGACTTCAGTTCCCCTCATCCACAGCTGCCCTTAGATATTAGTGGTATTTCCATCAAGGAGGTTGGCTTAGTGACCTGGCTTCAGCCAGTGGGTATTTTATTAAACTTCCCCACACTCACACCCTTTCTTCCTTCTCTGTGGCAGGAAAGTATGTGGGCAGCCGGCCCATTAAACTGCGCAAGAGCATGTGGAAGGACCGCAACATTGACATTGTGCGCAAGAAACAGAAAGAGAAGAAAAAGCTGGGCCTCAGGTAACGGGACAGCGCGCACCTTGGCTGCGTTTCAACCACCAGCCTAAGCCAAGGAACCCAGCTCTGGACCTGCTGGGGAAGATGCGGATTGCGAGAACTCGGGCAGTGGGAGAGGCGCTTGGGGATAGATAGCAACTGCCGCCCAGCCTGAAGCTCACGTGCATGGAGGTGTTGTGTGTTTACACCCTGTTCCCCAGACTTACTGTGGCTTTCCAGGTTTGATAGTAAGGAACCACAACTTGTAGAGTCTTCTGGGAATATTTTGAGGGGAAATATAGGCAGAAGTATGCTGAGTCAATAAATTTATGCTTTTTTTTTTTTTTTTACTATGCCTACTCTTGTTTTTCTGATGGTCAGCTTCCTTCTACCTAAAGCATCTTGTCTTCTTGTGGCTATTTTACTTTTTTGCGGGGGGAGGTGGGGTAAAAGCCTGCTTATAAATTTTGTAAGTCCAGAGATAGTCAATTGTTGGAGAAGAGAAAGGAAAGAGTTTGGCAGTCTTTGGAGTCCTGCTTGTAGGCTCCCCAGAGCAATCTGGTCACCCGCTGCAGGAAACGGTGCTGGACCAAAGATGACCCAGCACAGCTTTTGTATTTGATTCTAGAAGTTTGCAAAACATGATTTTCTGGAAGGTCCCAAAGCTCTATTTGGAACTGAGTTGACTTCAACTTGGGCCTATGCCAAGTATTGTTGAAGTAAGACTCCCTTCCAGGACATTTAGTGTGGCTTCTTCCAGAATACTCAGAACGACCCCGTGATGGAATGTTTTCCATTACTCTTGTTATTTGTTGTATGTTGGTGAGTAATGTTGTCTGCCATGCTGAATTGTTTTATAAAGACCCTTGGAATATTCAACTTGGTCAGAATGCACAAAGACCATTCTTCCTGATGAGTTCGTACTGGGACCTATTTCACACATCACACTAAAGCACAATTAGTGGTTTGACAGGACGTGCTAACATTGAAGAGACAAACTGTACAGTGGCTTAGTGAATTGTATGAAAGTGGCAGGCATGTGCTTTGCTTGTAGCTTTGACCAGTGTGCATTCTATACCCCTATTAGTTAGGGGATGTTGAAAAACTCCATAGGTTCTGTAGCCCCCCTAGTTTTCCAGCTGTCAGATGCTAACAGTGTTGTTGACTCTTTGCCCATCCTTTGCTTGGTATCACCAGTTAAAACGATTAGGTGCTGGGTAAGGGTCTGGTTGAAACAGTGCAAAAAGGACTGCAGTCCTTCTCCACCTCCCAAGAGAAACACTGAGGTCGGGGATAGGAAGCGTTAATTAGTGTTCAGCTGAATACAGACTTGTCCATTTGGTCTGCACCTATCAGTGAAATGGTATTCCATTGAAAATGTTTGTTGTTTTCAGTGAGAAGGGGTGCTTTTTAAGAGGGTGGGGATCAGAAGGGAAGTAGCCTCCCCCAGCTGTGTCTGCTACATTGTTCTTTCTCTCTCTGCTCTGCGTGTCTTAGAGGAGGTGTTTGTATTATCCAGGGACTGAGCAAACAGGAAAAACAGTCAAAGAGCAGGAAGCAGATGGGAGAAGCCTGGAAAGGCAGGAGCTTTGACCCTAGCTGGGGAGGAGATTTATGGGGGCAGGCAGCAGCTGTTCAGACAGATGAAACTCCATTGACCAAACAAATAAGCGAGCAGGAGTTGGAAGGGGTTGAAAGATTACAAAAGGCTCAGAAGTTTTCTTTGGCCTTGGCTAGCCCTTAAAGAAATTACTGTGAAACTCTTTCAGAAGATGCTCAGATCCAGCAAGAGAGGCTGTAGCATAGCGTAGCCTAGATCACATGCTTTTTAATAAACAAAACCAGAATACAGTTCCTTATTTTTGCAAGTCCCCAAATAAGGTGGTTTTTCCCACACCTCAGGAGACAGACGTGGTGTCTCTCTTCTTTGAGCAAGCAGTCTGGGGACAGACTTGGCGGTTCCTCAGTGTGAAAATTTGGGTCAGGTCAGCTTTTTTGAATGCTGATTGTCCAGACTGTAGATTATGCCTAACCAGATCATGTAAGGCTTCCCAAGTTGACTAGCTAGTGGGCTGTATGACCTCTGGTGCCTTCCTACCAACTGAGACTGTATCCTTAAACCTTCTACAATAGGAAAGGGTTTTAAAGAAATAGTCTTTAGGATTAAATCTGAAAGAGTCTCAGGAATGGATTGGATGCCTTTTCTTTAACTTACTGACCATGGCTGCCTTATCTCTGGCCAGCAAAGCCTTCTCTGTGGTCAACCATACAAGCAAGATGTGAGGGTCAGTGAGAGGAGGAATGAAAGCGCTTGGGAAATTGTTGCGGCTTTGGTGTTCTCTGAGCTTGACATGTTCCTTGCAGGGATTTCATTACCTTTCTCAGAAACCTCAGCGGATTAACATCAGTGTATGCAAGAAAATTGCCGAGCTCACTAAGAATGCTAAGAACCCAATAAGCCAACCCTGAGCTATGTTTATTTTCCATGATCGCACCACTTGGAAGATTAAAGTGTCAGTGCTAAGGCTCCCCACCAGTAGCATCTGTAGCAAACCTTGATGATGTCAAAATGACGTGTGTAGCAATCACAAAAGTCCACTGTTACCTACTTGTGTCCTAACATCTGGCACAAGTCCATCAGCTGCGGCATTTGTGTGATGATGTCATACATGTTGGTCCTTGCACTCCCACAGATGTCCCCCGCATTCCTTCACGGGTGCTTTTCCCCCCATGTGTTCCTGTGACTCACCCATCAAATCCACAGAACTTCATCAGTTAAACCACAGCACAACTATTTAATACACAGAAGACAAGTACAAAACAATTGATTCCTACCACAGAGAAGTGGGTCGGTCGGTTGCTTTGGAGAGGGAAACGTATTCACAAGAATAAGTGTGGTACAGAATCTCTGTGTTGGGGAAGGTAGTTAAGTTGCTGCAGAGGTGGTTTTGTGGGCTACAGGCACTGTCCGGCCGGTGTAGGGGGTCCCCCATACTTCATATGTTGAAAATCATTGGTACTGTGTTCATTGCTGACACTGAAGATGGATTGACAGGATTTGTGTAAAGGAAGTGAGTACTTGGCTTGCTTACCACCTTCCTTACCACCCGCTTTCTCCCTACTCCTCCCACCCTTTGGAATGATATAAATACTAGTTGATTTAAATCCTGATTTGTGCACATAGAGGAATGTACATCCGTGTTGCAAAATGTAAGCCATTTCTTTCACCAGGCAAACAGTCCTACATCTCAACAGGTGAGTTTTCAGCATTAAAAACTAGAAATATGGTTCTTTAAAAACTGGAAAAAGGGAAGTTGGGTTTTTAAGAGAAACTTCATCATGGTAAGAACTATTTAGTAGTGGAGCAATCTGTCTTGAGCAGTGGTGAGTTCTCACTAGAGGTTCTCAAGAAGGGACGGTGTCTTGTCTAAGAGCTGTGGGTGCAAGACTCCTATACTGAATGGGGTTTGTCTAGATGGCTTCTCAGGTCTCTTTCAGTTCCATCATTTAATGATTTTAGAGACACTTTAAGTGAAGCGGGGCACACCAGGACACTCTGGCACTTGTGAGGTGACCTTCCCCTTTCGCTCTACAGCAGTGTTTCTCAACCTCAACCAATGCTGGCTGGGGAATTCTGGGAGTTGAAGTCCACCCATCTTAAAGGTGCCGAGATTGAGAAACACTGCTCTACTGGAAGAAGATCCTTTAATCTATATACACACAACAGCTTGTTATACCATCACTTCCTGTATATCTGAATTGATACCCATAGGATCAGAGAGAGAGTACCATGCTACTGCAGACTGGAGGTGGTGAATTTCAATGTGTATAATAATATTAAGGATGAGATGTCCCTACAAGTAGAAAGCTAGTACAGTAACAGAACTGTTAGCAGAACTGTTAGGGTTTGCAGGTAGCTCTTTCCAGGGAGAATCATCTAAAACGATACTTGTTCCTGCTGATTCCAATGTTCAGTCCACTCTACTACCTTAATAGTTTATCACCTTATTTTGCTTCCACTGAGCCATCTACATTACAAGCGAAAAGAGTTCAGAGTCAGTTCACCCCCATTGCCATCACATGAAAAGTTCTGAAATTCCAAGGGGAATGACATGTTATAAGAGCAAACTGAAGTACAATTATTTTTTGCCTTTTTCTTTCCCCAAGAACTTTGCCAATCTGGACCAATTGAGATGTGTTGAACTGCAGTTCTCATAATTCCAAGAGAATAAACCTTTTAGCTAGCTAGCTGGGAATTATGGGCCCCTTAGGGCAACACCACTGGAAGGCCCTAGGTTTGGGAAGGCCAGTCTGTTGTATTTGGTCCTCATCTGAAAGTGAATTTGTAAGAGTTGGTCTCCAGACTGAAAAAGGTTCAGAAGACCATCATGCCAACAGCTGCAAGTTTCCCCATTATCATTCAAAAGACCCACCATCTCCCCAGAGCACAGGTGGTTAGGGAAAAAAAATCAGAAAATCCCCCTATTGTACATAGGGATATACTGGTTTTAAGCTGAGGACAGTTCTGGAATTCTTGCTACCTCACATTCATTTCAATAAATCTGGCTAAAGAAAACCCCAAACTGTACTCAGAAAAGGATTGTTTTTCAGGTTTTAGCAGCTGCCCAAGTATGTTAAGATACTTAATACTTTTCCAGCAGCACCATGGAAAAAAGTTTGGTGTTTGGGCTAGACGGGACTTCCGCTTCTGAAAAGACTAAAAGTGACCATGAAGCAACGGCTAAACCCCATCTTTGCCACTACTTTGTATACAAAAAAACATACCACTCCCTGCTTCCACTATGTACATGGTGTAATACTAGATGTGGGGGGAAATTAAAGAGTCTAAGCAAGCTGAGACAACCCATCGGTGTCTCCTATAATTCTGAAACCCAGTCTATCCCTGCAAAATTCAGGCAGCGATAGCGCAAAATCTGGCTGGTCAAGTCTTCCAGCTAAGTCCTGGTGGGTGGATTAGAAGATCAGACAGCTTTATGGTAGAGCAGCAGAAGAGTGCCTGCTGGTGGTGGGGAGGGGTACTGCTCCCCCCGCCCTCTTTATTCATGACGGCCACAAATACATTCGCGATGATACTCCCTGTGTCCCAGTTGCTGGGTGTGGTGGACGTTTGTGTAATGAGACCTTCCGGTAGAAGTTCAGGTAGCTCCAAGACCTTCCGGAGATTAGAAGAAAGAGCCCAAGTGGTTGCTGGCCTGCCTGGACACCGTGGGATTCTGATAGAGGTTCCCCCCGGTGGAATTCCAGTAAGGGGCAGGTGGCCCGAAGAAACCCGAGGAGGAGGCGGGCATCTGCGTGCCGTGGCCCAGGCCGAAGCCCACCTTCTGCTGGTGGTAGGGGGGCAGGTAAGGCAGTTCCGTGTGGTGGTATTTGTAAAGGGCTGGCTCACCCGGCTGGCCCTGTTGGGCTTGGTTGATGCCCTGGAAGTCGAACTTGTAGGCGTAGCGCTTGCCGTGCACCTTGGTCATGATGCTCTTGTCGTAATAGTAGCGCAGCGCCCGGCTCAGCTTGTCGTAGTTCATGTTGGGCTTACTCTTGCGCTCGCCCCATCGCCGTGCCACTTCATCGGGATCCGTCATCTTGAACTCGCCGTTGGTCCCCTCCCAGGTGATGCAGCTGGCGTTGTTGCTGTCTGAGAGCAGCTCCAGGAGAAATTGCCACAGCTGGATCTGACCGCTACCTGCCGGCGGGCAAGAGAACAGCGCCTTTAGCATCGGCCTCACTTCGTTCCCGGGAGGACCAAGGACCTCACGTTCCCTCCAACCCACCTTCTGCTGGGCGAGAGAGATCTCGAGGGGACTATTTGGCAACTCAGTTGGCCAAGACGAGTGGATCGTTCCAATGTGAATGTTGAAGTCCAGGGACAGGCAATTCGGTGTGCCCTGTGCTCTAGACTCCAAATCTCATCAGCGGGTGCTGAACAGTGCTAACAGAAATTCAGACAGCACCATGTTTTGGTGGTGGGGTGGGGAGCAGGGGAGGACTCTGAGTCCATCTTAACTCCTGGCGCCTACATGGACAAGTTCAAACAGTTTTCAGAAGTGGTTTGCCATTGCTTTCTTCCTGGGGCTGGTAGGGAATGACTGGTTCGGTCCTCCTAAGGCAGAACTGGAACTCGGAACTCCCTGCTTCTAGTCCAGTACCTTAACTACTAGACCTAACTGACTCTTACCATGTTGTTTAACCTTGGGTGTAATGCTCATGGTGCATTCCCTCCCGCCAGGTCTTCCCCTGTGTTTGAGCTTCCCTATAGAAAAGGCCAGATTCACAAAATCAGATGGAGTTATTGGCTCTGGAGGAACCCATTTCACTCCTCTTCTCCCCCCCCCGCCTTAAACAGCAGGATGGCAGGCAGACATTCAATGGGTGAAGTCTCCCATTCCTCTGACTGCTTTTCCATGCTGAGAAAAGACATCTCTCCTCTCATCCTACAGCTGTGCCCTAGATGCTCCACCCCCAAGATAAAAGGTGGATGGTCTCACCTGGGTTTGCCAAGCGGCTGCTAGTGGGCCCAAGGACTTGGTATGGATCTACTGGGAAAAAGAAGGAAATAAGAAGGACTAGAACTGGATGCATTGGAAGGATCCCCTCCCTATCTCTTCCCCATACCTGGAAGAGCTCACAATTTCTTCTCCCTCCTAGCTCTAGGGGCTCTGATATCCCTCTGATTTGGGTTATAACCCTGCAGACAAGTTGCGGCTCGCATGACTAAAGTCTTCCTAATGTAGAAGGGTGGACAGCTAGGCTTGAGCCTTGTCATGCTAGCTTTCTATGTGCAGGGAGGAGAGGTAAGTACAGTAGCTCTGTGAATCTTCCCCCTCCCAGCTGCAGTCTGAATGGTGCAGGCCAAACACCTTCCCCTCCCCAGGTGAAATGGTACAGCCCAAACACCTGATCAGCTGAAGGCGTTGAGGCATTTCCCCCAGGGCCATACTCCTCCGCTGGTAGCTAATTTCAAAGCAACTAATTTGCTCCTGTTGCCAACTTCCTGAATTTTCCCCTTGCAAGGTGCCTGTGCCTTGAATAATGACAAAAAAGGCAGGAATGTGCAGTTGGGAAAAGCACAGAGGCCCTCCCTTTAAAACTGAAGCTCCATAGACTGGCGATGGCTTTGCTTTGCAGCTCTTTACATCTCTGTCCTTCAGACTTGAGTTTCTGAGCTGCAGAAATGAAAACTGAGCCCCAAACAGTAAGGATTCGGGTGCCTTGCTGCCCAGGACTTTTGGAGGTGAATTACCAGGGAAAAAACAGATTTTCTGAGATTTTTAATTTTCTTGGTTGAGGTTAGCTGCTGAGGATGATTAGTTCCAGCGAGATTGTAGCAGGAGACTTGTGTTAGTCTAGGGCAGTGTTTTTCAACCTTGGCAGCTTTAAGATGTGTGGACTTCAACTCCCAGAATTC